CAGAGAGGCTGCCTGGGGCTGGGGAGGTCTGAGTTCCAACCCTAGCCCTGTGGGCCTCAATTTCCCCATCTGCAAAATGGGAAACTGATTTTTAAGAGCCTTTCTGGGCTGATGCTCTGAGAGAGGCTAGCTTATGCTACAGATAAAGAAATGAAGGCTTGGAAAGGCTCAACCACTCACTTACCACCTCTTCACTTGCCAATGACTGAGCTAGAACTCAAACCAGGGTCAGTCTGGCCCTAAAAGCCTACACTTTCTCCAACAGACCACATCTTTCAGCTGTGTTCTCACCTGGAAACAGACCAACTTCAATCCCCAGCCATGCTTGCAGACACCCACTCTGGGGTTCCCAATTGCAAATGCATAACTCATGGCCCCTTGACTTCCCAGTGGCTGCACTGCCTGCCCCTCGTGGAGACTAAACCCTCCCCTGCCTTCCCGCCAGTATGGGCCACGACGAAGGGTTGGGAGATGGTACCTCAGCGCCCAGGCAGATCCTGGGTCCCCCCACAGGTGACCTGGTCTCAGAGGAAGGGGTTATGCTGGCATCAAGAGCAGCTGGAGAGGCGCCCCTTCGGGTCTTGTGGCCCATGAGCCTCTCTCAAGCTGACGAGAACCAGGGTGTGAGCATGTGTGTGTAGGTGCATGTGTGCATGTGCGCATGTGCGCATGTGCATGTATGTGTCTGTCTATGGACACACAAGTACATGTGCACCAGGGCTGTGGACAGGAAGGGAGGAGCAGCAGCCCACATGCTCTGCAGAGGACACCAGGCCAGGGGCAGGGAAAAGACACATGACACTGCCTCTGCCATAAGGACCTCACTGTCTGGCAGGGGACAGAGACAGACAGATTTACAACCACAAAAAAGAGGAAAGTGCTGAGTTCCCAGGCACAGGACAGACATGAAGCTGCGGGGATTCAAAGAAAGAAACCACCTCATGCTGCCCATGGAGACCAGAAAAACCACAGAGAAGAAAGCAGCATTTGGGCTGGTCTGAAAGATGGGCAGAAAGACACTTTGCAACTGACTGGGGTTTCTTTTATTTCAAAACACACCCACTAGGATGGCATTAATTAAAAAAAAAGGAGAATGAGATGCATTGGTGAGGATGTGGAGAAGCTGAAACCTGGTGGGAATGTGACACGGTGCAGACACCATGGAAAACAATCTGGCAGTTCTTCAAAATGTTGAACAGAGTTACCATATGATCCAGCAATTCCATTCCCAGGTGTAGACCCACACGAAATGAAAACAGGGACTCAGACAGAGAGTTGTGTGTTAATGTTAACTCAAATATCCATCAACGGATGAACAGATACACAAAATGTGGCAGGCATACCCCTGCAATGGGATACTATGATTCAGCGATAAAAAGGAACGAAGCACTGATACACACATGGATGAGCCTTGAAAAACATCATGCTGAGTGAAAGAAGCCACACACAAAAGGCCACATATCATATGACTCCATTTGTCTGAAATGTCCAGAATAGGCAAGTCCACAGAGAGTAGATCAGTGGTTGCTGGGGGCTGGGGGTGGGAATGGGGAGTGGGAAATGACTGCTGATGGGTATGGGGCTTCTTTCTGGGGTGATGAAGACATTTTCGAACTAGACAGAGGTGGTGGTTGCACAGCACTGTGAATGTGCTAAATGCCACTGAGTTGTTCACTTTAAAGTGTGATGTGAATTTCACCCCCATAAAAGCAAAGCAAACCAACACCCAATCAAAGAAGCCTAAAGCCTCCAATCTGAGCAGAATTGCTTCCAAGTTTGATAGACAGCCGACAGCTCAAGCCCTGTCCTGTGCAGAGGCTGGGCAGGCCAGTGACTTGCCCTCAGAGAGTTCATGATCAATGGGTGCAACAATGTCCCTGAGCTCGTTTTGTCAGAGCTGTGACAGGGTGCTGTGGCATTGAGAACGCAGCCATGCATCTGCCTGTCCTGTTCTGTGACTCAGCTGTGACAGTGCTGGCTGGGGGCCCTAAGGACACAGGAAACTTCCCAGTTGGTGTCTCTAGCACGAACCTGTGGGCTCCCTAATATGGAGCCATGGTAATGACATTGAAGACTGTGGCACCTTGGACACAGTGATTCAGTTCTTAGACCAGGGACAGCACACACCAAGGACACAGGTACAGCACACCAGCATCTGATCCCTACCTGCCATCAACCCATCCACCTGCCCCAACAGTCATCTCTGGGGGCTCAGATAGAACCGCTGGATGCCAGCCTGCTGCCTATGAGAGCTGCCCTTCAGGAAGCCCCACAGCCTTCCCAGAGGGAAGCAGACCGCCCAGCCCAGCCTGAGCAGGGAGCTCACAACCATGCTCCCCAACCAGCCCTCCAAGCATGCTGGTGCTCGCCATAGTAATACCTTTCCTGGCGATACCTGGCTGGTTTCACCTTTCCATTTGGACAGGAAAGCAGATGTGTGCACATACGCTTGCTCACCCAGAGATGCACAGGGAAAGACCCTGGAAACTCAGATGCACAGGGAAAGACCCTGGAAACTCAGAGCAACAGAAATGAGTCCAGCCAGCACTTAGAGGCCGTGCTGGCTAGAGGGAGGCCATCCATGAAGGGTGTGAGAGTTGGACGCTCATGACCCGCAAGGTGGGAGACGGTTCTATTTTCTGTTGCAAGCCCAGTTAACAGAGTTCAAGGCTCATCAAAAGACACTGCACATGTGTTGGCTCGACGGGAGGAGCCTGGGCTGTGTGGAGTGGAGGAAGGTTTGAGTATCACATGGGGGGTTGTGCGATGCTTGACAATTACATTCATTGGAGTCTTTTTTTTTTTTTTTTTTTTAAAAGATGACCGGTAAGGGGATCTCAACCCTTGACTTGGTGTTGTCAGCACCATGCTCAGCCAGTGAGTGAACCGGCCATCCCTATATGGGATCCAAACCCGGGGCCTTGGTGTTATCAGCACCGCACTCTCCTGAGTGAGCCACGGGCCGGCCCATTGAAGTCTTAAGAATAGATGTTCCAAAAAAAAAAAAAAAAATCAAAAGATGGGGTGGAAATGGCAGGTGCTTTGAGGAGCCCAGTGTGGACGAGATTCTGTGCTTGAGGAAAGCTCTAGGTTATCCTAGAGGCTGGAGGTCAGTCCTCCTGGATTCAGACCGTCCACCCAGGAGGCCAGGGGCATTGAGGGGCTGCCTGCTGTGGTCTGGGCTCACCCTGGCTTGGGTGGGAATTGAGGACACAGTGGCTTTGGCAAGTCTTAAGAATAGATGTTCCTAAAAAAAAAAAAAAAATCAAAAGATGGGGTGGAAATGGCAGGTGCTTTGAGGAGCCCAGTGTGGACGAGATTCTGTGCTTGAGGAAAGCTCTAGGTTATCCTAGAGGCTGGAGGTCAGTCCTCCTGGATTCAGACCGTCCACCCAGGAGGCCAGGGGCATTGAGGGGCTGCCTGCTGTGGTCTGGGCTCACCCTGGCTTGGGTGGGAATTGAGGACACAGTGGCTTTGGCAGATCATCCAGGCCCTTGTACTGGCTGAGCTATTTCCACAGTGCTCAGAGTAGGGGGCTGATTTAAGCCTCTTCCTCTTTCCTCGCTCTAGAAATAATTAAGGGGTAAGTGGTTCAAGAGGGAATTGAGTGGTGCTTCTGAAGCAGCTCAGAGCAAACACCCCCCAGAGAGGCTGGATTCACCTCTTGTTCTCTTCCCAGCCAAGCCTCCCATGCAGGTGTGTGTGTGGGGGGTCTGGCCCAACTCTAGTAGCCCAGGCAAGCCCAGGAGTGGGAGGTGGAGACCCTGCCAGCCGAGTCTCTCTCCGTGTACCAACAGCTCCGTGTGATGTGTGATGAGGGGGCTACACAGCAAGAAGCCAGACTGAGACCACCCCACTTTGTAGCAGGGACAGGAGGCACCAATGTGCCTGCCAGAGGCAGGCTGAGAGCAGGTTCACAACCAGTGTGGGAGGCCCTGAGACCCTCAACTTGGAGGAAAGCTGCCGGGCTGGGCCAAGGGCCAGCAAGAAGCCAGCAGGACAGCTGTGATGGGAACTCTGCAGGGCAGGGACCTCAGTGGGACCCCAGCAAGTGAGAGCGGTGGTCACATCTAGCATCTGGGCCAGAAGCACCAGATTCTGGGACTCCTCATCACATGTTCTGGGGTGGTCAGGCACTGAGCAGGGAGACTAGCCATGTCTCCAGGGAGTGGATAATATTCTCTAATCACAGGAACCCGTCATCCTCCAACTCCTTTGTGACTCTATAAATTAGCCACATATCCAACACTGCTGCCTTGCAGTGAGGAAAGCGGGATCCTGGGAGCCAGGAGATGGGCTGTGTGTTCCTGGGCATTTAACTTCTCTGGGCCTCACACCTTTCTGTCTGTCAAATGGGGTGTTGGACTGAATGTGTCTGGCCCCAACCCAATTCTTATGTTGAAGCCTTAACCCCCAGTGTGATGGTATCTCGAGATGGGGCCTTTGGGAGGTGATTAGGCTTTGATGAGGTTATGAAGGTAGAGCCCTCATGATGGGGTTGGTGTCTTCGGAAGAAGAGAAAAAGACACCAGAGCTCTCTCCCTCTCTCTTTGTCGTGCGAGAACACAGGGAGAACACGCTGTGTACAAGCCAGGGGGAGAATCTGCCAGGCCTTGACCTGGGACTTCTGGCCTCCAGAACTGTGAGGAATAAGTTCCTGTTAATTAAGCCCCCAGTCTATGGTATTTGGTGATGGCAGCCTGAGCTGATTACGACATGGGGACAGTATCTGGACCAGTGAGAATTTGAGTGCTGAATGCAAGGGAGGGTGTTAGTGTTCTAAGTGCCAGGGACACAGGGCTGGCGAGACAACCTGATGCCACTAACACCCACGAAGCACCACCATGTACCTGGCATCATGCATGGGAGCAGGAAGTCCAGATCAATTCAGACACTTGTTAGGAGCCTGGGGTGGACACTGCACTGTGAAGGCCATGATGTCACACACCCACATGCAGTTACCTGTGCGCCCTCATGGTGGCTTGCCCCATGACCTGTACCTGTATCATGTACAGCTGGGCAATGCGGTACTCCTCCACAGTCATCGGCAGAGGAATCCGATATTCCTTTATAATCATCTTGGAGTCCACGCCTTCCCAGCGATGGGGAACTGCGAGTTGGGACTTCTACACGAGGTTCCTTAAATAACCATGACAAAATTCACCAAGGACCCCTAAAAGAGAGAGAGAACAGTACAGTCACTTTCTGCACAGAGGGACAGCCTGGACTAGCCCTGAGGCTAGAGTTCTGGTCTGGACTCTGGCATGAGCCAACCTGCCTCTCTGTCCATCCTCCATTTTCCGTCACTTTCTGCACAGAGGGACAGCCTGGACTAGCCCTGAGGATAGAGTTCTGGTCTGGACTCTGGCATGAGCCAACCTGCCTCTCTGTCCATCCTCCATTTTCCTCGTGTGCTAAGTGATCTTCCAGATCTGCCGAAAAACCAAGTGAGAGGCTGTGTGTAAACTCTGATCAACAGCCCCAGGGAAGTAAAGGATTGTCACCCTATTAGCAAGGGCCAGGGAAAGAGCTCCATGCTCTTGTTTTACTCACAGTCCTAACAAGCTGCAGCATTGGTTTTCTAATTCTGTAGCGGCAACCCTGGGCTGCAGCAAGGAACAATGGCTGGTCATGGGAAAGAAGGCAGATCAAACAAGACTAAGAAAATTAGATGCAAGAGACTTAACAGTCGGCAGCCTGAGCCTCTTCAGTGTTGGGGCAATCAGTCCTGTTCATGTACAGATGGCATCACTGTGTTCTTGCAGAAGACCCTAAAGTTTGGTTTCAGTTCAATTCGATAATAAACATTTAGGGCTGGCCAGTTAGATCACTTGGTTGGGGCACAGCCTTGCAACACCAAGGTCAAGAGTTCAGATAATAAACATTTATTAGCCCCTGTTCTTTTTTTCTTTTTTTCTTTCTTTCTTTCTTTCTTTTTTTTTCTTTTGGCGTCTGGATGGTACAGGGATCAAACCCTGGACCTTTGTGTTATCAGCACCATGCTATGACCACCCGAGCCAACTGATCTGCCCTGGAACCAATTTTAAAGTTGACATTGGGCAAGGAAGGTCTCTGAGGTAGAAGAGACAAAGAAGATAAGCAAACGGTGTATTCCCAGTAACTTCTATTTAAGATGACAAAGATTACATCTGATGAAGATTTGCACCTAACACAATCAAATTTTTAAAAACGTACTTAGTGCTTGAAGGAGGCACACTCACAGTTACTGGAAATGGCATCACCTGTTATAATCCAAGCCCTAGATGGCTGAGGCTTTGCTGTAAATATCACTTGTTACCTCCACAGGTTATGTGCTATGAACTTGAAGCTAGTGAAGTTTTCCAAGATGGATAGTGGAAGAACTAGGATAGCTTTTTAGAAAGACCCCTCTGAAGATGACAGTCAGGGAGGATTCATGGTGACCACAGGCAGGACACTGGCTAAATGGTAAGAGTAAGGGCCCGGCCAGCCAGGCAGCCTCTGCAAGGCACCAGTCTATATGGGTACAGAAGCATCGTCCAGGCACTAAAGCATTACTGTGCATCTAACAAGACTGAGAAAAGCGTATTTACCAGAACTCTCAGGAAGATCGGCATATAGGGCTGAAAGAAATCCTTTAATAAGCCACTTAGGGAGAGATGCCATGTGAATGGGCTAGAGACAGCAACTGTATTAGCCTGAAATGACCCCCATATTGATCACTTCTTCCCAGCAGGTAGGAATGTAGGAATTCTCAAATCCAGTTGCTTTAAATATAGTCCAAATAAACATATTTTTGGCCAATTAGAGCCTATCTACTATACATACACCATGAAACTACACCCAACATGTGCTAGCCACAGATAAGACAACCCTGGAGCCACAGAAGACCCCAGACCCCTACTACCCTTGGGAGTTCTCTGACTCAGAGACATCACTTGGACCCATAAGCATTCTTCTAGTTCCCCTCTCCCTGGGGAGTCCCTTGTCCTCTCCCCTTCCTGGGAGAACTCTTGCTGGAACTCTTGCTGAAACTCTTGCTGGGAGGGGCTTTCCCTCTCATGCAACCCAGTCAACCCTGAAATCACCACAGTGGGGAGGGATTGCACTCCCCAAAGCCTATGCTCAAGAGAAAAGGGATCATTGCTGGCTTGCTCCAAGGATAGTAGGTCTGGCTACCAGCCTCACGGAATGTGGACATAGGGCCTGAGGGAAAAGCAGAGGCTGAGTGCTGCCCTGGGAGTTCTTCCCCATGGCCCCTTACTCAGCTCTGAGGCCACCTGCCCCAGGCCCACTGTCTACGCTCAAGTCTGGCTGGAAGCTGAGGCCACAGGACAGAGAAGCAAGGGCACAAGCCGCACCGCATCCCACGGGAACGAGAGCCCACTCAGTGGAAGCAGAGTCTAAGTGTGACACCTGGATGGGCTTCTAGCTGGTTAAGAGGGTGGCGCAGGCACCTGCCTTGGGAAACCTCCTCACACAAAGGAGAGAACCGGGTGCTTAGGAGAAGAAGCTGGATGAAATTAGGATTGGAAGCAGGATATGGAAAACTGCGGTTCAGCGGGACCATATTCCCAAAGCTTTTCCACGTGTCTCTTCACTGAAGCCCCAGGATTGGCAGACCCACATGGCACTGTAGAAGTCACAGAAGAGGAAGCTGGAGCTACCATGCACCCCCGGGATATGTGGCACCCACACCTACGTCTGTGGGGCCTCAGGTGTGCTCCTTTACTGCATGGGGTAAATGCAATGGCCCAGAGTGACCTTGAGCAAGTCCTTTGTCATCATCTAAACAACAAAGAGGTCAGACATGTCTCTAAATGTTTTTCAGACACTCCAGGAGTCTAAGCAGTGTCCCCTTCAGAATCTTAACCCCCTACCGTGAGTGACCTGCCTGTGTGCTCACCCACAACCAAACCAGACCATCCTCCTTTCTGTTGGTTTTCTGGCCTGCCAAGTGCTGCTGCAGGCCCACGGGTTAGGGGCGAGGCAGGACCCGCAGGCTGAACTGAGCATATTCCTTAAACACCTCCACCTCCTCAAATCAGCCAGGGATGAAATCTCAGCCTGAGCTAGCACTGAAGACACTGACTTGGGTCTCTGAGAGTATGTGTGTGGACAGGTACATAATGATGCTCCCCACAGACAAGCTGCCAGATGAGCTATAATCACATAGGTGGTGTCTACACCTCCACATGAAGAGAAGGGACAGAGACAGAGAGAGGACACAAACCCAGAGGGCTCAGAAGCCTTTGGTAGCTCCTACCACCAGGGTGGATCTGGGCTAAAGGCAATGCTTAGGGCCAACCGGGGGCAGCAGCCACGCGACCGTTCCAGAACTGCTGAACAACTTGGACAGCCTTTGGTAGCTCCTACCACCAGGGTGGATCTGGGCTAAAGGCAACGCTTAGGGCCAACCGGGGGCAGCAGCCACGCGACCGTTCCAGAACTGCTGAACAACTTGGACGCTTAGGATACAATTCCACCTAACGCTGGGTTGGAGAAAATCAACTGCATTTCTGCCCATGAGGACCTTTATAAAGAGCTACAGAGGTAGGCAGGTACAGAGAAAGATAGAAGAAAAGAATAAATAAATAGTTTTGTACAGTTATAGTTAAGTGCATGGGTGACTAAGAGCAGGAAAGACAGCTCAGGACTTCAGAGTGACACAAAATGTGGTGGGAGGTCACAGTTTGGAGCTCAGTCTGGAATCCAGTGGCAAAACCTGACAATGCCTTTACTAGCTATGGGATCTCCTAGAGCAAGTCTCTGTATCTGCTGAGCCTCCATCTCTCCATATGCAAATGAGGATAATACCACCTGACTTCCAGAGTTTCCAGAGTGTCATTAAAATGAGAAAAGCACAGGTGAAGGGCTCCCCAGCTGCCAGAAGTGGGTGTTTGTCACTCAGTCGGGAAACACTTCATGGAAGGTAGAACTGGGCTTCTGAGATCCATGGGATTCTGCTTGGCAGAGAAGGAAGCAGGCATGAGGAGGTCACCTCCTGGAGAAGGAGCAGAATGAGCCCAGGCCCAGGAGCAGGAATAGCCATCAGCACCCCCTCCCACAGGTGTGTCCCAGGGAGATGGGGGGGTGCAGAAGCCACCCTGCTGCTACTTGCCTGGGGGAGGACAATGCTTGAGGCTGAGACCAGCCATTCCCCACATCCTCAAGCGGCTGCCCACCCATGAGTCCATGAAGTTCAATGCCAGGTGTAGGGCAGGAGCAGGTAGACCAGAGACTGTCACTGGCTTCTAGGGGTGCCCTCTCTCCCAGGGGAGAAAAGACACACACACCAGAAAAGGAGTGACCATCATGCTGTGAACCAGCCCCTGGAAAGCCTGTGCTCACCCCACGCCCACTAAGCCTCCTCTTTGGGAAGGCTTCAGAGCTCAGCATCCTCTCAGGATGCCCCCAGAAGGGCAGCAGAATTCAGGAAAGGGACATGATTTCTGAGTACTGGCTGCTTTGGGAATTGTCTGTCCAAGAGCTCACTCTGAAGGTGCCTACAGCCTCTGTCTGGTCAAGTACCAGCCTTTTACTTAGTTAAGCAACAAAGCCAGGCCTGTTTCTTCTTAGCTACACCTATGCTAGTGCACCTGATGTCCTGTTAGCGCCTACAGCCTCTGTCTGGTCAAGTACCAGCCTTTTACTTAGTTAAGAAACAAAGCCAGGCCTGTTTCTTCTTAGCTACACCTATGCTAGTGCACCTGATGTCCTGTTAGAGATGGCAAGTAGGAACATTTCTATTCCACTGTCCTCCCTTAAAAACAATGAAAAACTACTAAAGACAGAACAGTCACCGTCACTGATAAAAGGAGAGAATTGCTACACCCCTAAACCACAAACAGTGTAGAGCACCAGCCATGAAGTCTGAGCTGGGAGGAAGGAATATGCCAAGAACTAACGCACACTGCTTTGGACCCCAATAAGTACCACCTCCTGAAAGTCATAGCCACAAAGCCTCTTCTTAGAATGCTGAGATCTAGGGCTGTGGATGTGTCCAAGGAAAGGTGGGGAATCTCCCTGGTTTTTGTTTTGTTTTCCACTTTTTATTGAAGTATCACATATGTACAAAAAAGTGCACAAATCATAAGTACAAATTTTCACACACCCATATGAGCAACACCCACATCAAGAAACAGAAAATTAACAAGCCCAGAAGCCTCTTGTGTTCCTCTGGCCACATTCCAC